TGTCTCGTTTGGTGGTCTCCACGGAGTCAATGATTTCGCCCAAGTATTCAAAGACAAACGAGTCCTTACGGATGGCCCGGCGGCTCATTACACCCCAACCCTTGCACTCAGTCTTGAATACCGCTAATTGGGTGCCAATTAAGCCCTTTTGTAGCCTCCGGTTAGGACATGCGGCTGAGCACTGGCACCGGTCGTTGCACTCGTGCAACACGTGCGACGACTGAAAGCCCATGTCCTCGAAGATGTGGAGAGCGCACCGACACTCCGGGCCCTTACAGTCGTTGGGACACTTGCATCGGACCCGTTCCACATGACACCTGTCGATCTTAACCCTCCCCTGATTGTGGTATTTGTTCAGATATTTTATTTCTGGCGGCACCTCCAGGTCCACGTCATTCTCGACCGATATCTTGTCACTCGTGAACCCAATCTCCTTGAGTTGATCGTTGATATCGTCCTCCCATTCCTTGAGCCGAATGGCAGACTCTTTGCGATTGTCAACAAACTCTAAGAACTTTCTGAGATCACCGAAATTGGTCTCAATGTTCAGGTGTTTCACCAAATACTGGATGAGTATCTTTTGCGGCCAAGACTGATCTCGATTTCTGGTCTCAATCGAGTCCATCGATTGGGCGATAATCTTCATTGCCGTCACATATGTCTTCAGATTAGACCGCAATTGCTGTAAATGAGTGTCTGTTCTCTCGTAGTGTTCGATGCGGAAGCCATTCAGCTTAAGAACTACAGCCACGTCCGGGGCGTCCGCACCGGTAGCTGTTTTGGACAGTAGTTTCGCAAACGCGTCAAAGTCTTCGATGTTGTAATCAATGACTTCTTTGCCGGCGAACTGTTGGCGATAATAGCGTTCGTAGTCTTTATGACAATTCTGGAGATCATCGACCGTTTGCCACGTGTTTTCAGACTCTTCATAGCCCTTCCACTTGATCTCAAACAAGAGTCTGGACTCGGGGTCGAGCCTCGCGTTTACAATGGTTTCGATGGCGTAGAGCTCATCCGAGACATACTCGCTCTGGAGGTCCACCTTTGTCTGCTTCGGCGGTCTAGTTGTCGACATCTTGAACCTCCTCTTCCGCTTCTTGTGATTCATGGGACATATAGTCGTGTTTTTGAAAAGACTGATCGGATGGGGATCTACTCTGAGTGACATCTGAAGGGCGGCGTCGATGAGGCCCTGAATGGGTTGGAGACAATCCAACCGACAATTGTGGGCCAATTGGATCAACTGGTCGTCGGATAACAGGTGCGCGTCTCGGATGGTAAACCTCCCGGCGTTACCATCTGTTTCGTAGTCGTCCTCCTCATCAGAGATCACTTGGCAGTCGCTATCGCTGTAGTCCATACCATAGACCGCTCGCTATCTTCATGTCAGACACCAATTATCATCACAAGTGATACATAGGTGTTGAGTGTCTCATACCTCATACCTGTCCACTACCACCGACTCATGAGCTGACCTCTTGTTTACAGTGATTTGCAACACGTGGTGAACAGTAGAGTAGGTGTTGTTGTGGTAAACAGTATTCACTGGCTATCAGTGGGGGTCAATGTACCCTAACTTAGGGCTGTTCAATGTACCACTCAAATGCGATAAATCACCATGACTATTAAGTTTATGGGGGTATTTATGACCATGCACATATAAGTAAACCTGAGTTAAATAAACATAAAACATAACTCCTGTTTAAATATTACAATAGCGAGTCATAGAAAGGGCGCACGTATTGAGTGTAAAAACTTTTGTAGCAGTCGTCGTAGTGTTTGGTTGTAAACAACAGCTGATTGTCAACCACTGCACGACGAGCACGTGTTTCGCGCTGAAGATCTCGCTGTCAACAACTGATCCATCGGTCATGTCGTCCACGCAGGCGCTCAATCAAGAGATCCGCGAATCCAAGCGAGAGTTGCAGCAAATCGAGGAGCAGATCATGACTTTGAGGTCACGGAAGAGACAGTTGGACACAAAGATCGCGTCGCTTGAGACACAACTCCAGAGTCACAGCGAAACTGATTACCAGAAGTTTGCCACCGATTCGTACGACTGGTCCCAAAAGGTTCACAAGTTATTGGAGACAGTGTTCGGCCACAAGAAGTTCCGGTCGTATCAACTGATGGCCATCAACGCCACGCTCAGCGCCACGGATTGCCTTCTGGTGATGCCTACCGGTGGCGGCAAATCCCTGTGCTTTCAACTGCCGGCGCTCGTCAACAACGGACTCACTCTCGTGGTATCGCCGCTGATATCACTGATGGAGGATCAGGTGAATGGCCTCAAAGAGCTACGCATACCTACGGCTGTCGTCAGCGGTCAGACCACTCGCGAGGAAAACAATCGCGTGCTTCAGGCGATAGCGGATCCCAGCAGTGATCTGAAGATAGTGTACGTAACGCCCGAAAAGATGGCGAAATCCAAGCGATTTATGTCTCAATTGGAGAAATGCTATCGAAATGGACGACTCGATCGTGTGGTGATCGACGAGGTATGCGATTATCTTAACCGTGGTTTGTGTGTGAATACTGTACTGATTGTGTCCACCGATTAGGTCCACTGTTGCAGCCAATGGGGGCACGACTTCCGCACAGACTATCAGTTCTTAGGCGTACTGAAGACACAGTTCTCGAAGGCGCCGATCTT